TTAACCATGTTTTTCTATATACTTATATAAATATTTAATATTTGCTTTTCTAAATGAAATTCTATTTCAGAGTAATGCTACGTGGAAAGAACAATTTGGCTGAAATATCTAAAAATTTAAATAGTTACAGATCTGAAAATAATTTTATTGGATCGTCAAAATAATTACGTGGAAATCTCAAAATGATGAGTAACGATGCACAAAATTTTAACATTTTAGCAACCAATTTGAGTATCTTATATACTTATTTTGGTAGTTCAACACAATTATTTTCAAATCTGAGTCTATATATTTGGATATTTAAAACCATTCTTGTATCGTTTCCTTACCTTAAAAGTGACATAAAAAAATGTGACTTTTAAATTATTATCACGAATGAGTCAAGTAAACGTTACTCAAATCAAATATCAAAAGTGAATTAAAATCGTCATAACAAAAATGGTGATTTTTTTTAAGAATTATGAAATAAAAAAATAACAAAAATATCTTATTAAAAATATACAGTGAGAGTAAAAAGTATTCGTACAAGGAAATTTTCTAGAAAAAAAATCTTATTTGTAGAAAAGTAAACATTAATCATCAATTTTATATAATGAATACATTCTTACATTAACAAATGAGCTTCGCATATATTCTTGATTTTAGAAGCTACCTCGAATACTTTTTGAGCATCCAAACAATACAATTTTTAATTTTCATTTATTTTTCAGATGACATATTTTCTATAATTAATACACATCTTTTTGGTATACATAATTTTAAGAAACACAGTTTGTTTTACAGTTTATTTTATTCTTTATAAAAAAAATTGTTAATTACACAGCAAGAAATGATTGTCAATTAAACGTCGAATTGGTGTTGAAATCATCGTATCAATATTGATTCAACATCAATTCGATGACTCATTTCTCACTGAATAATATTTATTTTTTAAAAATAAAATATTTTTTAAAAATATTTTCTCTGTACGAATACTTTTTACGCTCACTGTATTCCTTTTGCTGATATTATTTGATTAGTCAATAGTCTTCCGATAGGTTAAAAAGTATTTTTTTCTAGAAAACTTACAATTTTTTGTATATCATTTTTGAAGTAAAGAAGCGATGTCTAAGATGGAAAAATAGATTGATAAATAATCAATTATATAATATCGTATATAGTAAGTAATAACGAAGTTCGTAATTGCTTTTATGGCACATTGAAACATACAATGCATTTGTTTCGTTCAGCATAAGCCTCGATCCCGAGGAAGACGTGCAAGACCCCGACCTATTCTCCATGTTGGGAACCTTCCTAGACAATGATCTCGATCTCGCGGAACGAGAGCAAGTGTTCACGAAGACAATACCGCGAATAGTGGAACAGGCGAAGGCCTTAAAATCTACAAAACCCCCTCAAGGCTTACACTTTAGTCTCCAGCAGCAAGGTACCGCGAGATTCAATATTCTTCAAAATATTGTAGTCATGTAAAACAATACCTTATTATTCAACTATTTTTAACGATCTTACAAATCGGCACTTGCATGATAAATATACATATGTTATATCTATCCTGGTGGAAATTTTTATTGGACTGTCCAAATAATTACGTGGAAATCTCAAAATGATGAGTAATAATACACAAAATTTTAACAACCATTTTAGCAACCAATTTGAGTATCTTATATAATTATTTTGATAGTTCACAACACAATTATTTTCAAATCTGAAAATTATATTATATTATATAATTTCTTAGAATTTTTCATGATTTTTCAGAATTTCTATATAATTTTATAACCTTTTAGAAACTTTCTCAGTTTTTCTTCATTTTGGAACTTTCAGAAATACTGAGAAAGTCTACAGCTTTTCTAGAATTCTTTTATACGTATATGTGAATTCTGAGATTCTTCGATTTTTCAGTCTATAATTTCCGAAGAATACTCAAAATCTAAAGAAACATTTTTCAGAAATATTCATAAATGTCAAGTATCAAAACCTTTTAAAAATATGAGAAATTATGAAACATTTTCTTACTTGTAAGATAGAAGTAGAATTCGATAATATAAAAATGAATTCATCTTACGTAGGCGACAGCGTCGAATACAGTTACGCTTTCGTCTCCTCTTTGATCGCGAACGCATTCTTCTCAACGTATCCGAAGAGAACAGCAAAGACTCACCCTACATTACGCGATTTCAATTTCACAAATTTCTTCAGATACCTCCACAAGTGAGTTATTCCCGAGCACGTCAAATCGTCACAGAAATCTGCTACTTTGAGTTTAAGAGAGAAAGCGAGATAAATTTTTAAATATTTTATCCATTTTATTTTCCAGAAATGCACAGAAAGCCAAACTCAAAAGTATTTTTCATTATTATAATTATCTCGAGACGGAGCATGCACTCGATGGCTGTCTAATAATTTCTAGGCAGGTACGTAATGTACGATTCAATTGATATATTTTCTTTCTTATTTCATATATATATATATTCTAAAATCTTATTTTCTTTTTACAAAATATAAAACTTAATAATTTCGCAGGTGATGACGTCTAAGCAATGGCTGACAATCGAAGATTGGTTGGAAAGTAACATACCTTTGTGTCCGTTGACGATACGTCACGAGGGACGGTTGGAACGAGTTGAGGCGGAATCAAAAGTATTACAAGTTTGTTTCGCGAATGCTAAAATTGGTGGCGGTGTGCTGGATGGCGATGTCACGCAGGAGACTGTACATGTAACTAATTAGAAAAAATTATTATTATAATTATAACTCTTAAGCGCCAAGAATCTTCTTAATTATATGTCAGTACTTTGATGATTCTAGAACTCAGAGAAAAAATAAACACAAATTGTTTAGGCTTTATTTTACGACTTGTATAAATTAGAGAAAATTTGCTAAGTGTCTCTTTCAATTAATTATTAAAAAAAAGCTTATATCTATCCTAGATATAAAGATCAAAGAATTAATTTGAATAAATTACAGATCGTCTCCAGGGTTCCCATCCGTCTTGGAATTATTTTCTTTGCTCAAACTCCAGATTCATTCTTCAATATATTGACATATATAATTAAAATTAATGTGTGTAAGTATCAAATCGAGATTGTAAATTTGATTCTTTCTATAGGTAGCGACACATCCGGAAATACTCGCTGCGATAATATCCGTCGAGGCCTTAGAAGACAACGAAGTACTAATAATCGAGGGTGTCAGGCACATGTCGAGGATAAACGATCCGCGGCATAAGGCGATATTCGAGGGTATCTCGAAGCCGAACGTGGTGAGTGAAGTGCGGGATCTCGGATTCGCGCGGATTTTCACGCTATCTGCGATGGGAAGGCAAACAATCGTACAGTTTTCCGAGCGCAGGTAACGGTCTGCTGCATAGATCCCGAGGACTACTCGCGATTGCCGTTGACGCAGTACGAGGAGGACAACATCTTGAGGGAGATGAACAAGTCGCTGCTGGGATTTCGTCAGAGGCACGTGCCCAGCAGCCCCACGGATCCGATCAAGAGTGAACTGGAAGCGGAAATCGGCCTGGGCTCCCGCAGATTATCGCCGATCGGCGAGAGCTTCAGCAGCACGCCGCCGGAAATGGAAGGCGAGGACAAAGTTTTCGCAACGAGCAATAATTCCAAGACAGGTGGGAGACCGCGTATAATTTTCCGTGCATAATTCGCTAAAACCAGGTCTTTCGCTGTCTACGATCTGCCTATTTTCTTCTACGGATAGATAAGCAGGTTCTCTGCGACGAGCGACACAGATTGGAGAACACGACGGAAGTGCGTAGCAGGCCTAACGGTAAATCAATGAGACCGCCTAGTCCTCACAAGGTGTGCAAGGACGCAAGTTACACGAACCGAAAGAACAGATTCATCGTGCTTGGATCTAGCGGCGAGGTACTGCCGGTGACGCGACAACTCGGCCAGATGTCGGTTTATAGCAGTTGCAACAGTCAGAGCACGGATAGTTTCCACAGCGCTAAGGAGACCATCGACGAGGAACCTGGTACGATAAAATAACTATGGGATGATTTATAGAAAGAAAATAAAAATGTATGTTTCTATTAATTGAATGATTTTCAGAGGAAGAAGAGCAAAAGGTGACCAAACGCTACAGCGCGCAATTAGATACCCCCGAGAGAAGAGGAACCTTCGCACAGCGACTAAAAGACGCTCTCAAGCGAGAAAGTACGGCGACGGGAGTGACTTCCTCGAATACTTCTTCCAGCGAGAGCAGTTATGCCGTTGGTATAAGCGTCAGCGGTAGCCATGTCGGCGATCAAGACATCAAGTGAGTCAAAATTCATAAAAAATATTGGCGCAAAAATTACTCCTGAAAAAATATTAATATATATTAAAAACTTGAACAGTTCAACGATAAAAGCAATTAAACGATGAAAGATAATATTTTTAATTATATTACATGAAAAGAACGGTCTTTCTGAAGGATCTAAAAATTTAGCTAGATACAGATTTGCAAGTAAATTTGTTGGATTATCAAAATAATTATGTAGAGTTTTAAATGTTGATGATAATACTGCAAAAGATTTCATTTTATTCTAGCAATTACTTTGTAATTATTTGATTAATAATTATTATTAGATTCGTCCATCTGCAAAATTTTCCCAAAACGGCTTTTCAAATTCTATTTTCGACAACAGATATTCAACAACTTTAGTTCTATTAAGGCAAAATATGAGTTCAATGAGAAAATTACATATATATAATATCATATTAATAATATGTTTTATATTTTTAATGTTCTTTTAATACAGGTTACAGATTTGTCGTTGTACTACTTAATCCGTTGTAACAGTTTATTTTGATGCTTCAAACAAAATCATTTTCAAATCTATATCTAGCGAAGTTTTCAGATACGTAAAACTATTTTTTTCAATACTTTTTATGTTATCATTTGGATTGACTTTTACCAAACTCAACTTTGTAGATTGAGAAGAGGAGGTTCGAGGGGTTTCGTTTTGCGGGACGAGACAGTGGACGAAGAGTTCCTGAAGGAGTCTTTGGAAGCAGAGCAAAAGTGGCTTGGCCGATTCCGGCAGAGTCAGGGGCCTATGTTTCAGAGGAAAGACACGAGTGCGAGCAGCAAGTATAGTTTCAGCACCGAATACAATTCTGGCGAGTATAATTTGATAAAAATCGTTTAAGCACATTGATTCCTGGCGAGATGAATTGAAAAAGCTAAACTTTCACGCTCGTAGATTTCTGTTCAGAGCTGGAGGAGGTTTACGAGCAATTGTCAAAGTGGCTGGAGGATCCGATAGTGGCGGACGAGAACCGGGAATTAGATGCGAGAGATCGGGCGGTTGTACGATTCGCCGGTTCACTTCTGAAACGCGCTCTGAGCGAATCGTTCGCCGGCGTGCCGGTCCAGGAGGGCGAGCCGCAGCCGTTCATCGACGCTGACGTAAATCAGCAGCACAAACTGGCCTTGGCTGTGAGGAGCCTCAGCTTGGAGCTCGCTCGACAGAAAAATCGGAGACAGCAATCAGTAAGAAATAAATTCGATTAAACACGTTACATGTTCTTTGCGAAAGAGATACCTGAATTAGTAGAAAGTAGAGTTCTGGATATTCAAAGCTTTAGTAGAATAGAAAGACTCAAGTTTTTAGTTTCTCGCGATAAAATTCACTTTGTAATAAATAATCACGAATACGATCGCGACTTCTTTGATTCCTGAAAGAAAGCACTCAAGAAAAATAAAAATTTCCCAGCCAACTAAAAATCGTATAATATCAATGTTATGATTTCGTACTCAACTCAAATATAACTGTCATGTAACATTATGTGGTATATTTATTATTGAGTGTGAAATTATAACATTGAGCACATTCAACGGACTCAACAATCTGAGTGAACGCTCGCTATTATCGATATATTCTTTTAGATCATCCAATCAGAATTTTAGAAGAATACATCAATAGCAGCAAGCGTTCACTCAACTGTTGAATCTACTGAACGCAGCTATTGACATATTACTTTTAGTTGGTTGATTGAGTTATTACTAATTGCTTCAGTCTTCATTATATTAAGTCGAAACTGCTTTCTTTTGGGAACTAAACAAACTTGAATTCGTGTTAAACATACAGATACACTTGTATTATAAAAAACATACAGATATACCTTTGTTATGAGCAGTAAGATGGAATGAGAGACAGTCCGAATCGATTTGGTCAAGCGAAGCTAATCTAACGTAGAATAATCGGTAAAAGAAAAGTTTCGAGTTTGGACTATAGGCAGCCGAAATGCTATACAGGTGTCTGAGTCCGAAGACGTAGATTGCTACGAGGACGCCTCGTGCGAGATGGTAAGAGAGGCGAAGGACGCTCAACGTAGGAAACTTTGGGCTGTCACGGTCACGTCGGAAGTGTTCCAAACGTTGGTCGATGATCATACGACCGTACGCCTGTCTACACCGCCCATGTCCGAGTCGGGACAGACGGCGAACGAGCGTGAAATCCGCGAAGCGAGCACGCTCAGTGTCTCGCAGGTGATTCTGATGATTTGATCGCATCACGTGTACAATCGCAATGCATGAGACAGCAACTGTGTTCAATCCGTTATTTAAAATCGCTTGGATAAAGAGCATTTTTTGTGGCTTCGGCCAAGATATAACTTGTCGGGATAAGACTGTCCGACATGTCTTCATTTCTTCTATTTTTTAAATTCTTTTTTGTCTTTCGACTTGATGCATGACGCGCGGATTGAGATCAGCATCTTCCTCGTGTTCAAAATCCTTAGAGAACTAATACATTTATCTGTCTCTCAATCTATCCGACTTACAGTTCTTCACTCACACATTTCTCATTCTTTTGTTCTATTTGTTATTAACCATCAAGAGCGAAAATATCGTCCATATACATATTTTTCTCTTTATCGTTACGATAAAAGGCAGAATAATTTTCTATGTGAACTAAAACGATAATAACCATTTAGCTTTGTATGTTACGTGTATCTCTAGAAATCTTAATGACATCCGATAATTACGTTCCCAGCGGCAAGAATTTAAAAAATCTTTACTAATTATATATATTATGTCAAGAAACGTTGATGTGCATGGCGATAAAATAATTTATAATAGATTGTTTTATCATGTGCGTAGTTGCCGCACGAAAGTAGTCCCCAAGGAGGAGGTTTACTGCCCGTGGCTACCGGCAACTGGGGATGCGGAACTAGATTAAAAGGCGATCCGCAACTGAAACTCGTTATTCAATGGCTTGCTTCCTCTCTGGCAGGAACACCAAGATTAATCTATTACACCTCTGGCAATCCCAGTCTATCCAAGGTAAAGGAAATAACATTATTCTATTACATTTATTGTCTAATCAGGGTGTTTACTGATTAATTTTATAAAAAAATTCCGTGAGAATTCCCCGATTTTTCTACTAATTTCTAAATAAATTATATTTGAAAATTAGTAGAAGACAAGCACTCTACAAATCTATAGTAAAGTAATATAGGAAAGGGTATTGCGATATATACATACAGCATTTTAATTAGCTATTCTATTCTGTAGAATATTGTTTTCTATTGTCTATTGTTCTATTGTTTTTTTTATAAACTAGCGAGACACGCGAGAATGTACGTAAATATACATAACGTGCCACATTTATTGCTAATTGATTATCAATATTCTGTTATTGAGAAAAAATGATGAAAGAAATGTTTTCAGAAACAAACAATTTAAACTTAAAAAATAAAATTCCAAACATTTCTCTAAATTCTAATAAAATTCCATAGAAATTCCTGGACCTTTTTTTATCAAAGATAAAAAAGAATTTTTCTAAAAATTTCAGATTTTTTCAAATAGTAAACACCCTGCTAATGATGACTCACACTATACTGGATTATATAATCCGGCATCTAACTATAGCGGCATATTATAATTAATTTTGACAATGAAATAATATTCTATTAAATAATGTGTGACAATATTATTAACTATTTAACCGTTTAAAATATTTATATGCTTTTATATTTAATTTTACTAATTTTATGTATAGCAGCTTTTTTATTGTATATTAATCTAGTATAGTGCAAGTGACTGAATGCGCCATAACTATTCATCGTTCTAGCTAAAATTTCAATTTCAGTTAGACACTGTGAGCAGAGTTCTGATAGACAGACGTTGGTCGGTGGGTGATCTTGCTGCCGCGACGCTGAGGTATGCCATGCACACGATCGAGGAACGGATGGAAGGAAAGAATAGTCTTTTCGAGGAGATCATCGGGATGGATAAATCGAGTCCTTAGCCCGATTCGATGCTGTCCGTTCTGGTGGACGTGTTAGCTACCATGATCGAAGACAGCCTACTGAAAAACTAATAATATATTACATATATATCTCTTCCGAAAAAGGAACATACAAAAGGAAAAGAAACGAACGGGTACTTGACTATAGTTAGATAAGATCGATAATTAACTCTAATTCGTAGTCTTAGATGAAACATGTTATACGAGTTTTATTTTGGCGAAAGAGAGATTGATTCAGTTTTATTTTTTTTCTTTTTTGTTCAAATTACTACTCTCGTCTAGCATATCAAAATGATATCAGGCAAATTCGCACAATTCATTGTACAAGGCAATATATCAAATAGGAAAAAAATAGTCGCTGCGATATTTTCTATAGTCTATGTATGTAGCGTATCGTGCTGTCGAATCAAGTTATATTATAGGGATCGTGTCACATTTCCGC